TATTATTATTATTATTATTATTTATGTAGAAAGAGATAGGAAATTAGATATTAGAGTGTATTGATGGATGGTTGCCCCCCAACAACGTTCTGTCCCTTGTGCAACAAAATTGGTGAGGTTGACCTAGAATTATATATTTGATGATGATGGGAGTGTTTCAACGCTGCTGAATTATAAATACTCAGGGAAAAAGTCGTAAAGGATATGTTTATTTAATCTAAATTATTTGAACATATTTCCAAAAAATAAGTATGTGCAGTAATAATAATGAGATTATGTGTATATATATATATATATATTTTAAAAAATAAGTATTGAGCCCAGTTAATTATGTACTTAGATAGGACAATTTGAACGTCACATGGAATCAATAAACTTAAATTTTATATAATTGTGTTTGATTTATAATTGTGTCAATTCATTTATGGTACAAAAATATTTGTGTATTATGCGGGTTGACTCGGTATACGTTTAATTAATTATACTAATAAATTAATTTAAATTAATCAACACATTGTGTTTAAATTAATTTATTAAAATACATAAACTAATTTATTATTTGTATTTACACAGATTAATTGTGTTTAAATGATTACTTTTATCATGTCTAAACAAGTTAATTGTTGTGTCAAGAATTTTAATATGATTAATCAATCGTGATGTGTTCATGTCAATCCATTTAACTATTATATCGTTAATTTTATCTGACATAATTATCACATGTGAATATGAATTATGAAATTTATTTTTGACAATAATTTTGAAAGATGGCATAATACGTTTAATTAAGTTTTTATATTTTTATTTTGAATCAAATAAACTTTTATAATTAATGATTGACTAATTACCATTAATCAAAATATTATTTATCATTTTATATTTACATGACACTGATATGACGTTGATGTTAATTATGTAAAATGACATATGATCATGTTATCATATCAAATTATTATGTCACATTTATCATTAATATAATATATTAACATGCTACATCATCATTAATTATTATATATTAACACTTAACATTAGCGTCATGTAATATATAATAAAAAATAATATTTTAATTAAATTAATTATTAATTATAAAAACTTATATGATTTAAAATAAAAATATCAAAATTTGATTAAAAATAATAAAAATATAAAAATTTATTTAAATTTTTTAAAATAATTTAAAATTCTGTTCGAATATTAAAACTTAATAGATTTAGTATTGTTTCTACATTCTATTCATCTAAAGGAAAGCACTAGTTTATCCTTGAGGCTAAAGAAAATTGGGCTAGACAAATAATGGGCCATCCGTTGTTTCTCATTATAGGATGGGTCATAAAACTATGCGCGAAGGTCGATTTCTATGTCGGCGAGGACGGCCCAAGCCAGATCCTCTTGAAATTAAATTGTTCAAATAACTATAAAGCCTGAGCAGCTGCAGGACTTCCGAATCGGGACACCGGTTTCTGAGCTTTAGGACAGCCCGGATTTTCATTTTGACTGCCCGGCCAACGCCAACGATGGTAGCTAACTCCTCGCCCCCTGCTTTTCATTTTTGATCGTGTTGTTATCATTATTCGGTGAATTATAATTGTATTTCGTTTCATTTTCTCATCCAAAGCATGGATCTACTTTTCCTGCTTCTTTGCGCTGTTTAGATTCATGATTTGATGTATCATCTTTTTTGTGATCTTAAAATTCCCCCTGTGCCCTAGTTATTGAGTTTATGTTTTGCACTTTCTCCTTTCTCTTTGGATCTGCGACTTGGTTCTACTGTTTGTTTTCTGATCGGTAGTTATCTATTCCTATAGCTCACTGCAATTGCTGTTTGTTCTTCTGATTTATTATTAGATCCCACTTATTTCGTTATTTGAGCTCATGTCTTTGAAATTTATTCTGATTTCTAATCATATCTGATCGTACTTAAAACATTTCAGTTCAATGGTAACTTTTGAATAGTAGAGGTTGACTACTTAGTTCTAGTGATTTCTATGAAAATTTTCTGTTTGCAGTAGCCTTATTGTTCCAATGATTTCGGGAGGCATTAACTAATTATGTATATTGAAGATATCATTTTGCTCTTAATTTTTGTAGTAATTGTTTTGGATGAAGGTATTTTAGATGTGAATCACATGTTGGCGTGATGTATTTGTTAATTATAGAAAAAACCAGCCATAAAGACACAAGCTAAGAGGTTGGCCAGAGTCACATGTTATTAATTCAAATGCCGTCTAGGAAATGGAAATTCATATAGGGTACATCTGTTGCAGGAATTTAGGGCTTCATGAAAGATTGACTAGGATTACAAGGGTTTTATGTTAATATTGCAAAAGTTACTTATTATATAGAGTGACTCTTGGCTCTCATACTGCTAGCAGAAATGGAAATTTGCATTCATTTTGGGATCTGATTGTCACACTGATCTATACACACACATGCACACGTACACACTTTTATATGTATCTATGTATTTGTGCATGTATATTTCTTCTAGTATTGTTCCATTACTCTAGAAACTTAAAATCAAGCTTCAACTTTGCTTCTATCTGTAATCTATGATCTTTTTTGTGTTTCAGATTCACTTTGTGCTTCTAATTAGTCGACAGGGGAAAGTTAGGTTGACAAAATGGTATTCACCTTATTCTCAAAAAGAAAGGACGAAGGTATAACCAGCAAATTTCATTAACTTCATTGATTATTTGCATCTTTCAAAAAAAAAACTTCATTGATTATTGGCAAAGTGTGCACCTTAAAGGATGAAGTCGTAATAGTTATAAGATTGTGGCACAATTTTCTTTTTCAACTTTTGTCTTTAGTACTTTGTTGATGCTTTTTTGAAGCTGGATCTGCCTTCATGGTATTAATGCTTCATGATAATGCATTTTGAGAAGGTTATCCGTGAGCTCAGTGGAGTGATTCTTACAAGGGGACCCAAACTCTGTAATTTTGTGGAATGGAGAGGATTTAAAGTCGTTTATAAAAGGTAATGCTACAATATGACAGTGAGACCTCTTTTACTATGAATCTATTTGACCATTTCAGGACTATCAACTAAGGTGGGGTATTAATTATGCAGATATGCTAGTCTTTACTTTTGCATGTGCATTGACCAGGATGACAACGAATTAGAGATTCTAGAAATTATTCATCACTATGTTGAGATTCTTGACCGATACTTTGGCAGTGTGAGTGAAACTTAATCTTGACCTTACGCGAGAGTGTTAATGGCACCACTATATTTACATCTTATTGTGAATTAATTTATATGCAGGTCTGTGAATTGGACTTGATCTTCAACTTTCATAAGGTATGTTTGTTCTTGTCATATACCTGTGATTAGGGATTCTCTAGAGATTTTATTCCACGGAAAATTATGCATAACCCCTTGAGTTTATGTTGAAATTGTGCTCTCTCATTTGTGTAATCTTTAGCAGCACTTACCCTCCCACTCCATTACCCCACCATTTTTCTCATCCCTGAATATACCAATCCCTATCTTCCTTTCCTTCCATTTGTTTCTTTGAATCATAGACCCCCCATCCTTGCTCTCATAGCAGATCTCTTGATGTTCTCCAGTCTCCTGTATCCTGAAGAAGCATCTAATTTACATCTCTCTGAAATGATGTCTGTGAGTTGAGTGGTTTAAGTGTTCTCTTTTCCAGTATGGCACTGTGAATTTTCTTTCACTTCTAATAAATCCCCAAAAGGGCTGATGGCATTTTTAATTTTGTGGTTGAGGAACTGGAATATGTAGTTGAGATTGTTATTGGTTAGCTGCTTCTAGGGAGTGTTGCAGAGTCTGATATCTCATATCTTTGAGAGAAGGCTTCTCCTTTTTTTTCCTAGAAAAATGTAGTAATACTTTTGGTTTTGGCATCTATTATATTGCCAATGGAGAAGTACTTACATGAGGGTGTTTTTGGTCTTCCCCACAAGTTGTTTGCGGTATATTTGCTTGTAAATTCTGATCATCATGTTAGAAAATTATCAATATCCAACTAATTGCATCCAATTTATAGGTGAAAATGTGGTTTTTAAAATAGGAGGGTATAGGTGTAACTTTGATATAAACTTGAGGGTGTTGGTTTTGTAGTTTCCCCTTTTTCTTATAGATGACTTATGTCATAAATGGTCATTCCAAATGTGTTTAGTAAGTAAATAGCATTGTTGTTAAGGGTTGTAGATCATGGAAGTTAAAATAGGGTCTTTGCTTAACTCTCTGCTTCCGATTAACTTTGAAGGCCTACTATATATTGGATGAACTCTTGATTGCTGGTGAACTTCAAGAGCCAAGCAAGAAAACTGTGGCACGTTTAATAGCTGCACAGGTAGGTTTTTTCATTGTTAAAATGTCTTTGTTTGTCATCATTTGCAATATTCTGAGTGAATTGTTCCGTTGGTTGTAGGATTCACTGGTGGAGACTGCAAAAGAACAGGCCAGCTCCATTAGCAATATAATTGCACAGGCCACAAAGTAGGTTCTGATAAGTCATAGCCATTTGTCTTGGTTGATTTTGGAGTACCATCTGTACCAAATTCTTTTTGAATTTCATTTCGAGAACTGAATTATATGTTATGAGTGTAGGATTTGAGAGGTTGTAGAATTGACAATTCTTCATCTCACACATGTTATAATATGTATATGGTCATGCATTTGGGTTTCAAGCGTGGATTTGTTGGCTGTAGATAACATGCAATAGGCCTTGCTGATTTTGTTCATTTTTACGTTGATATTTTTATTGTTGTCTTCATTACTTGGCTCTGTGCTATGGGTAGACAATATTATTTAACCATACGAGGCTTGAATATACGTTTTTCTCTTTCCCTTTCTCGTGGAAATCCGGCAGGAAGGATGTGCCTCATATTTGAGTGGTCATGCAAAGAATCGTCTTTCCTTTCATATTTGTTGAAGAGAGACATGTGATGGCTTGTTGAAGCAATCATGTCAGGTATGGTTAATACTTATTTTTTATTTACTGGAAAGAAGAGGGTAAGATTGGCGAAGAAACGTGACAAATTGCAATTCATATGAACAAAGATTGATCGATTTTTCTTTTTCATTAATCGAAAACTGGCAACTTTTGTTTAGAACACATCGAGTCAAACTCATACCTACAGCTCCACTATAAACTGTTACACGAGGGACCCAAGCAACCTAGTTCTAGGTAGGACGCTTCCCCTCAACACTGTTTTCATCCAATTTGGTTGTACCCGCCAGTCAACCCAGCCAAAGTAGTCTAAATGGCAATGAGGGACCAGTTTATGGCTCTTATCAAGCAGAGGTAGCTTCATTGCAAACAGCACTAGGAAGTCATCTTGTTTGTTGATGCACTGCATATGTTCCATTTTAAGAGTATACCTGCTCAGTCGACGAACATCAACATGGAAAAAGTGGACTATAATCTATACATCATCCTGTCCACAAAATATTGCAAGTAGTGAGGTAAGTCTACTATGAAGCAATACTTATGACAATAACCACACAAATTTAAAACTGGAAAGATTATATGTATGAACCTTTAGAAAATATCCATGTCAACAGAACTAAGGAGCACTCCATCATCTTCCCACTTTACATCTTTGGTGTGAGTATCTTTCTTGATTAATTGAAGAGGCACCTCCAATGGCGGTGGGCTCTGCATATGAAACAACAACCAAATATGTAACGGCGTAAGCAGCAACGAAGTTGCTTTAAGAATTAAAGAACAAGAATATGTTCTGCCCCCATTAGTAGAGTCGGGGAAAGGTTCTATTACCATGCAGCGTATTAGAGGCCAATTTATGCCACGGAAGAAAGGGTGTTGTTTGATTTCATTGGCACCGCTGCCTGACCCCAAACGGCTGGCAGGGTCCCGGTTCAACAATGCGTTAATCAACTGTCTCGCTGGAAGACTAACCTGCGATACCAAACATGTTTAGGTTAGCAGCTGGAAAATAAACGAGCATATCTGCATGACTACATCAACACAAGCTGGTTCTTATTCTTCACATGATTCATCCAGAGGTACATACTTTATTCTGTTAAAAGAATAATACAGAAATTTAAGTACTTAAGTTGCATGAAGTAGACCTTAGTAATTGTAGTTTAATATCCATAAGTATGTATTATGCATGGCTCAAATTCATGCTGAGCAGTTGTGTTGGGTGATATACGGTACTCAAGAAATTGACTGTATAATTAGAATGATTGACCTTCAAACCAATGATTAGAAATATACCGGAATGCTACTGGGGAAGGTGAGGTTTTTGTGCAAGATATTGGAGAATGTTTTCTGCCTGTTTTTACCCCTGAAAGGTGTACGGCCATAGAGCATCTCATACAGCAAAATACCTAAAAATTCCAAATATAAATCCATGAATGTTATGTTTAACAGAATATTAACTAGGCTAGGAAAGAATCAGTGAAAGAAAGTTAGGCAGATAAATGCATTTGCAAAGAAAAAAGTGAAGAATATGATGTCTTCACCATCTACATACCAAGAGCCCACCAGTCAATTGCACTACTGTGTCCTGCACCAGTAATAATTTCCTGAAACAAAGTGAACTATAAGTCTCTAAATAAATACAGGAAGGAAACATATTATTTTGTTATATTTATAATGAATTGAGTTAAATATTTGAATATTAAGCATGAATAGAGTCACTGTACTGGAGCAATATATTCTTCAGTTCCAACAAATGAATTTGACTGTGCAGCTGGTTCTGCAACAAATGTTGGAGGTGGTAGACTCCTGGATCTCCTTCTCTTGTTAGGCAAGGGATGCTTTAAAACCTGTAAATGATTATAAACTTTAATCTCATGCAAAAGAATCGTTAGTTATCAAATGAATCATCTAATCAAATATCAAGTAAAATCAAAATTCACATACTTGGGGTTTACAGGATGTCATAAATGATAAATCAAAGTCGGTTAATACAACGTGCCCGTCCTTCTGGAGTAGAATATTTTCCGGCTTCAGGTCTCGGTATATTATTCCTGTCATAAACCATGAAAAATGAAAGCACAGTGAGCAGAAAAGCAGAAGACATCTTTCTTGCAACTCTTTTTGATCAAATCTCATAAATCACTCAAGCTTGCTGCACCAAATTGCATTCAATTAGTTCACAGGTGCCTAAATCTAAGCGAGGAAGCATAAGCAGGAAATCCTTAGATTATGGAAAGAAACCACACACACTCTCTCTGTCTTTCTGTCATTTTCCTCCTTTTTATGCTACAAGAAGAAGAAGAAAAACGTTTCTTTCTCTCTGTTTTTGAAAAAAGAAAAAAGAAAATAATACTGAAAAATGTATCTGTTCTTAGTTTGTCAAGATACCTAGACAATGAAGATATTCCAAACCAATGACAACCTCTGCTGCATAGAACCTGGAAAAGCAAAACAATAAAACAGTAGTAAGAACTGCACACATAGGAAATGTCCAGATATCCTGGTCATTTAGACATGTCAGTAATTCAGTCATAAAACTAACAAGAAACATGCACTTGAAAAACATTAGGAGTCAAATCTCTTCTGTCAAAAAATAGCCCAGTGATAAAAAAATTCCTGTCCCAATGTCCATACTGAGTATAATGTAAAGTCATCAAATTCTATAGCCATCAGCCAAGCCATCCGAATTCATTTCGCAAGCAGAGATTCAGGTCTGTCCACTAGGAAGAATATAATTTATGTTTGTTGTGATTATTAGGCAAGGAATTGCTGGTGTACCTTGCAGATTCTTCTTTGAAAAATTTCATCGGCTGCTTATCAAGCAGGGCAAATAACTCTCCACCAGGGCAAAAGTCTGTTATCAAACAAACATGTGTGGGAGTCTGAGGAGATAAGAAAAGATTAGTACACTTCATTTTATTTATTAAATTAACTCAAGGTTTCAAACTAGAAACATCTTCAATAGTAGCATCAATTTAGCATGTTGAATAACATAATTAACAACATGGTGCATATGTCGTAAAATGGGAAATAGGAATATATAATTACGATTACTAATTGTAGATGGCAACTTTAATGTGATAACAGTCACACATCAATCAATTGTACATAAGATGAACACCTCTATATACCCACTTAAGTATCCAGAAATCTTGCAAAATAGTTGGAGGAACAAGGAATGAAAATGAGAAGACCTGAAAAGAAGAGTATAATGAGGGAAGGAAAGGATGATCCAGAAGTGAGATGACTTCCCTTTCAACGCATGCTCGATGAACCTGTAAAGGGAAATAAAGTGAGGCATCCACTCAACAGTTTACTTATAATTTCAAAATTTCGAAAAACGGTTATTGGTCACAAAAGTGTTGTTTATATCAGACAATAATCCAACACAAATGCAAATGCTCATATGAACATTCAGATACATAATCCATAAGGTGAACAGAAGAGAAGCACAACTTCTCCAGGCAGGCATATAGCAATTCATAGGTCAAATAGAATCACATCAAATAAAATATGCATTTTTAGCATAACAATTTTAAGCAATGAGCAGACCTTGTTACGATTCATCATCACTGACTTCTCCATTGCCTTCATAGCAAATAATTCTCCTGTATCTTTTAGTTCCACCAGATGAACACTGCAAGAAACACCACCATAATTTTGATATGGAAAAGAACTAATTATGAATTCATATCATTGAATATTATTAACGGTCTAGGGGTTTAACATCATCCGCATGGGCTAGAGGAAGCATTTGTGAACAGTTTCAGAAGCATTAGAGAAGCAATAAATTAGCAGCTGAAAAACACATTTGTGAAAAGTAAATTAAAGGGGTCAGCATGAGTTGGTTCCTAGGTGTCACTTGACTGACGATGGAGGCTTTATTGACAGAACACCTGTATAGGACCAATAAACTTTAAAAGTAGCATCGAGAAAGTTAGGAAAGAGCAGTACCTGCCAGTATCACCACAGCCCAAGGGTTTTATGGGCTTAAAATGATGTAGACCAATTTTTTCGCCACGAGAAGTGATCTATAAGAAACCCAAAAGGATGAATTAGAAAAGGAGGGGGAAAGAGGGAGAGCAACTAGAGGCATGCATGATCAGAAACCTCTAGACAACAAACTCTACAATATATAATATCATACGTAGTAAGTCTAACTAAGTGACTTTGAAAATTTCATTTGGAAAATGATATTACAGGGCATTAAGCACGATGGGTACCTTCTGTATTGCTAGCCAAGAAGAACTATCTCTTTTGTGAGGCCGTGGGAAGACAGGCTGAGAATGGATTGCCCACAAATCTTCTGGTCTCTGAATATTTTTTGAAAATATAAAAGTCACATCAGCTAAGATCACACGGCTTCTATAAACAGGCAATTTTGATACTTTGGTTATAGCAATGAGTTCAAACTAAAGCAGAAGAATGCAAAAATGAAGTCAAATTTTGGATAACACTTATTATAACATAAGCTAATTGTTTTCAAATTTAATCATATAATTATTTGTTATATGCATTCATGAAATACTGATAATTCTTATGGTAGAATTATATAAATCAAATGAATTCTGAAGTAGTCTCATATTCAAGTATTTTTAGTGGCATATGTTTTGTTCTATCTGTCCTTTTCCTCCATTTCAAGTGTAAAGTTATAAGAGTCCATGCAACTTGAAACAACATTAACAAGGTAAAATTGAGATACAGATATCTCAATTGCAATGGGAAGAACTGATTTATAATATCTTTTACATCAATGGTTAAGACATTGCTATTAATAATTCCAAAAGAAAGAAAGAATACCTTACCAAATTGGCATCAGGAAGTTCCCGAACAGCTTCATCGACATTTTCTGCTGTGGCTTTTACCTGATAAAAAAGATGTCAACACATCAAATAACAACCCATTGAAGTAAAAACATTGCAACTGTACTTGCATTTTTGCTCTGTATATAATTAGAAGAAGAGAATGATTACAGACCAACTTAGTACTATGCAGCTCTGTTTGCTCAGACAGGCGGTTACGTAGGGGTTCAACATGATCACTTCCATCAAGTTGGACACCAATGAAGTATTGAAGCTCACCCTGTAAAATAACAAGGAATAGGTCAAAAGAGTATGTGCAGGATAATCACTAGAAAATTGAAACGGTAACTGTTCCTGCATTGAAAGAAAAATGTACTGCAACCACCTTTTGGTCACGCATAGGTTGCAAGTGGAATAAATTCCAGAATTTCTTGCCTGCAAGTCATAAAATTTTAACAATTCAGTGAAATACATAATATTTCTGAGAGCATGAATGTCTTTTTTTAACTTCTTTTTTCCCTTTTTTTTTTAACGAACCGCTTTTTGTGTAGTTGATCAACTGAACAGTGATTTCCCTCTGTTCTCTAATAGCATCTCTTATCTTCGAGACAGTTTCTTGATCAGTTTCTGGTCCTTGAAGAAACCTGTGAAGAAAATTCTATGCTGGTTTTATATGATTCATCTGACAAACCGATTGGAAAAACCATAGGACTGGAAATTTGTTTGAAGTAGTTGGATATTGAAATTAAAAGTAGTACAAAGTTCATACCTACAGTTCCTTCCCAAAGTTTCCTCTCGTGTATATTCCGTCAGTTCAAGAAAGCTATCAGATGCAAATATCTGCATACATTTGATCATTATAGTACTTTTTCAGATTGAATCCATGCCAGAAAGCTAGTACAATCAAGCTATGCAGGCTCTGGCGTATAAAGTAGTGCAGCATGGAATTTTTTTTTCTAAAAGAAAAGGTGGTAAGCTTTGACTTTGGAACGTAAAAATTATGTTCTGTGATTTACATGAAAATAGACTATTGGAGTTATGTCTTCTGAAGTAAAGTTAGGTTGGTGATAAAAGAAAATACTGACTACTGTTCCTTACAATGGGATTATCAGGGAGTCTAGGATCTGTGATCACAAAATTCTTTTCAATTCGTTCCAACGTAGTTGCTAGATCTATCCCTTGGCGTATGTCCCTGTCTCTTTCATCACGTTCCCAACTGTCAGTGCGTTCTATGTCTCTGGTCATTAACTCCTCTGGTTCAATAATTGGTTCTGTTTCTTGTTTGACTGCAAAGCTGGGCGACCTGCCTTTAAGCCTGGAGGAAAATGTGATGTTTCAGATGTGGAATACGATACTCATTTCGGAGTCACAATGGAGCTAATTATGAAAGGTGTTTGCGTAGCAAAAACTGCAAGCACAATTCTAGCAAGCTTCAGCGAGATAAACAGAATCCACAAGAAAAATAATTGGAGCAGCATAATGCTGATTGTGTGTGATACTGCCAATGTCCTTGGAAATGTACACTTAGCAGCAGTCCCTAAACAGCAGAAGGTGAAAAAGACTCACCCCATTAAAGAAATGCGTCCTGATTTTCTAGTTTTCTTGCCAAATTCTTGTGTAGGAGTACCAGTACTGAAGTCTGACCGGGGAGTGCATCTCCCAGGGGTACTAACGTTTTCAGTTTCAGCAGATTTAGGCAGAAGGTAATCAAGGTTGAACTTGTCTTCAAGCTTGTTACTGGCATCATTACTTATTGTCCGAGTGTGAGATTGAGGATGTTTCAAAGTTTGGACAACCTCTGTGATGGAATCTAGAGCCTGATCCTTCTGACGAACTGTTCCAAAATGTAGGATTATTACATACGAAACTTAAAGACACTATAAAATACCCCGACAAATTAAGTACAGTTTACCATCATAACGAATCAACGACTTGGACAGTCCATTAGGCCGCAAGGCCTTTTCATTGATACCTTCTGTGTATTTGCTGACCTCCACCTGCATTCTGGAGAAACAGCATTCAGAAGCTATGCATTAGGAAAAAGAATATACAGTTTAATTATGCCACATGAAGATAATTTGAAGAAAAGAATAAAAAAAAAATAAAAGGAAGACTAACCCAATGAATTTGATAGTATTTCCATGATCATCTTTGATAGGGGTGACAGTGAGAAGATTCCAGAAAGGAATTCCATCCTTCTTGTAGTTGAGGAGCCTGCCGCAATAGCTTTTTCCATTCTTAACTGCATCTCTAATCTTGGCAACCTCTGTCCTGTCTGTTTCCGGTCCTTGCAGAAAGCGGCTGCACAACACCCTCAACTCTGAGATTTTATTACTAGTACTTTTCCTAAAGAAACAACAAAACCAAAAACAAAATATGGGGACGATAATGATTGCATTACTCAATTTTAGGAGAATCATCAAAATTGAAAACCTAAATGTCCATCAGTTGAGGATGTATGGTACTCGAGATGATAGTTTTACTGGAGTAAAAAATGATCTGTAGTCAATCATTTGCCATTGACACTGCCCTAGGAAAATAGCAGGATGAAGACAACAATTGTCAATTCAAATGGGATAGTTGTATTATTGTTCTCCACTATCTTTTTGGATTCTTAATTCTCATGGGTGGTATTGAAAAAGTAAGGGAAAATGCCAAATTTTATGTTCAATTGAGATGATTACCATGCGATTTTCGGCAAAAAGAAAGGAAAGAAAACAATACCATGTGATGTGAGATGGATGTACATGGGCTCATTTTTTCTAACTGAATTCAGACAAGTGTGTGGCTGTATGTGTTGCTTGTGACTAGAAAAAGAAAGTTGCAATGATTTTGGGCTGCAAAATGATTGCAGTTTGTCCCCTAGGAACGGCTCCCAACAGCCTCCTTACATATTTAAAAGCATGAACTTACCAGTTTCTTCCTATGACCTCCTTTGACGAATAACCAGTCATGCTGAAAAATCCGCTGCTGGCAAACATTATAGGGCAGTCTGGTCTGGTGGCATCAGATACAACAAAAGTCTGCTGCAGAGTTGCTAGAGCATCCTTCAGCTCCTGTGACACCCTGGGAAAGGCCTCCAATCCATGATATGGTTCTTCTGATGTCCTTGCGGAGTCCATTGCAAATTTCTCTAATGAGTTCTTGTTAAGATAACCTTCTCCAGTTGGCGTTATTGTTTTACCAATCACTTTGAAACCACCTTCTCCAACATCTGACGTCACTGCAATACCCCATTCTGCAGTCCTTTCAGCTATGCTAGCTTCAGTTAAAATTCTGCCAGAGGACTGTCCATTTGAATCTTTCTCTGCCGCGCTAGCCCCATTCAAGTTTTTTATGGAGTCATCAAAACTTATGATCTGAGAATTTTTGGCAGCCTCTCCTCCAAAAGCCATCCACTTGTCCAAAGCCTCCTTCCCTGTAGAAGAGGTGACATTCATTGATAATCCTTCCTCTTCCACATGGCCTTGTGTACTAGAACCCTCAATTGTATCATTAGATTGTCCAACATTTTGAGTACCTGCTGATTCAAAAACCTCGATTGATCTCTGTTGTTCTCGACTGGTTGATTGAGTATTTGCCGATGGTGTTGAGGATTTAAAATGTGAGGCAGATGACCTCTGCATCCCCCCGGCCTTTGGTTTCTCCATTTCGAACTTCTCTCCAGTGCATGCAGGTGAGGCTGCATATATTACCAAGTTAGAAATGGCCTTTATATCACAGTACTTCTGAATCTACCTTCATATTACTTGGAATTAATATAAATGACTCTCACAACTAGAATTCAGTGCTGAAAAATGATCTCTATATGGTTTTTTGCTTTTGCTTACAAATTCTACCACATATGAAGAATTACACAACTACCATGATTTGAACAGCTAGAAACAGAAACTGTACTAGAAAAAATGCAGCTGAAATTCCTTCAAAATCTTTAACAGGATATGAAGAAAAGATCAAGTATGGTGCCGTGTTCTGCAATGCATAATCGGCCTACTTTTTGACACTTAACAATAATAAACATCAAACTCTAGAAGTAGAAGGTAGAGTTCTGGTAAAACACGCTCCGAATCTAACAAATGATTGAACAGAAATTGTCAGAATGTAAATATAGAAAAAAAAAGATTCAGTACAGTATGAATTTTAAATAATTGAAAAGACTTTGCACCCTTGTAAGGACCAAGAAAGGTTCTAGTATATGGAAGGAAAGCACTAGCTATTAAAGATGTTCAACTCCTGAGGTTAACAGGCAAAGAGATAGAGATGACGATAATCAAGGAAGGAAAACAAACTGTGGTAAGGACCTGCGCAACAGAAATTTAGAGTGCAAGCAAACCCCAACAGTTTCTGAGCAAAATGAATTCAAAGTTGCAGCACTTTAACGGTAATGGGGCCAGTGCCACTTTTCTTCCATGGCATTCAACGCACCCAGAAGCTTCCAGGGTCCTGTTAAAAAGTCATGCCTTTAACACGTTTCTTTTCCATACATCTATTACAGCATGAAGAAACATGTCTTTTAAGTTTCTGGGTGTGGTTTCAGCTGGATGTGGTGCAAAGAAAAGGAAAACAGGTCAATAGCAGGATAACGTTTCGTAAATAGGACTTCCAAAGTTCTATATGGGATAACATAACCCCCCCAAAGGTCCCATAGCTTCCCAATTTCCACCGTGACCTTATATTTTACAGATGCTGTTTTGTACGGTTGCATCAAAGTCGTTGATTTCCATCCTTTTCCTTTTTTTTTTATTATCCAAATTCATTTCCGCATCGTCACATTTGCTTCAGGAAGAAAAAATTTACCAACATCAAGTTCAATCACAGAAACAAGAAAACACTATCAGCTTTGTGAGGCTGCAAAGCTCCCAAATGCGGTAATTTTTGAGGATAAATTTCGCTTTCACTTTTCAAAAATTTTGTTGTGTCCCCTAAGGAAGATATGAGCATATAATTATTTTATATCGAAGTGACAGCAAAATGAACACATCACAAGATCAAGGACCACAGCATGGTGGAAACTGGTACGGTTTTGTTAGCATCCACGTTCGATACCCCATCATCATCAAATCAGATAGACCATTGGCGACATAACCCGTCACCAAAGCCTAAACCATTCTTTTATTCCTTGATCTAAATACTCACAAACGGTTTAAGGATCACAAAAATGCTGTCCCTCACCATTTAATTATCTCACACAAGATTCCTCCCAGCTAATTGACAAGGGAACCATGTCCATCCCAGGTTATGGGTCATGTTCTTTTTTTTTTTTTTTTTGGAAACTTAATTAAGAACCATTCATTCCAAAGAGGGAATCCATATACAATCAAAGGGGGTCGAAGACTGATGGGAGATCAGTCTTGACCCTCTCTTCACAAACTGGTAAAAAAAACACCAGTATCCCCTCCCTGTCCTGCAAAAACATAAGACCATCTCTTTCCTATTTACAATTGAACCCAAAAAACCTGCACTAACCACAGAAAAGCCACCAGAACCATAGCCATCAGATCATGCAGAAATAAGTAAGAGATGAGAACATAGTCACTGTTCCCAACTATGGGTCATGTTCTTGAAAACTGTTTGATTTGATTCATGGATGATTTTCCTTTTGGGTGGTTAAATTTATTCCTAATACTCGTAGACTTTACCCTTGGTGAAAGCAAGCCTTGCAGCTTCAAGGTCATTGCATGTTAAGTAACAATAGAAGTACTTCGTAGGCAAGTACCATTGCAACTTCGTTTATTATGCCGACTTGGAACGAGGGGTCGTACAAACAGGGGAATTACAGATAAGATATGCAGCATCCATTGTCTCTGAATCAAAACTTTATACTGTTGTTTGGCCAAAAAAGAAAAGAAATCAGCTTTATGATGTCAAGAAAATCACCCATATATCAATCTTTTCTATGATCTTTCTCTCTCTCTCTTTCCTCCTTTATGTTAAAAACGGAAACGACAAGGATGATTGGGGGCGTTGGTGGTGATTTTCGGGAGAGGGGTAAGGCAAGCCGAAGGAATATGCGTCTCAGTTGAGCAAAAATATTGTTGCGCACGTGGCAGAAGTTGCAGCCACACGAGCACTTGAAAGTCACATGGATGCTTGCCCGTTTATGTATATGTTTTTGGGGGTATTCAAGGCCTCGTGGTGGCTGTGGCTCGCCCACGTGATATACCAACAATTTTTGAAGAGGAAACCTTCCTGTCGTCTCAGTGGCTGTACCCGTGGCTGTCCCCTTTTTGGACGTTAATAATAAGAGTGTTCATGTAAAAATTTTATCCAATAAAAAAAATATATGGTGATAAAGCGCTCATGTCGTTCGTCATAGTAAAATGGACTTCTCTTATTCTTCCTCTACCAATGAAAGGCTTTTTAATCTGTGGAATGCCAACCTTTCCCCTTTAGCACTAACATTTTATTTCATATGACCTGGAACAACATCAAACTGCCAGGCAGACAAGTGGTAGCAGATGCTAATTGAGATTAACAAAGTGGCCTCTGGTAGCCCGACTGAAGAGAGAGATGGCCCTTCTCCACCAATGATTCGATGCAATCATCCAACATTTCTTCAATGGGCCTGAAATTGAACCCCAAACTTTTTATCTTGGAGGTATTGAATTCATAGTACGGTCTGTCTACGTCCTCAAATCTGAAATTTTTACAAGTACTAGAATATTCAGGAACAGGTTAAGCAGTAGAGGTAGTAGTAGAAGTAGTAAAAGTCGGTAAAATACAAAATCCTATAAGATTGGCCATGAATTTCCTTTCAATCGTATAGTTTGTCCTACATTAAATCATCTTGGGGTTGTTCTATCACATGCACAAGCAAATAAGGTCCAATCTTTTTAGCATTTTTTAATTATTTGAGGCATTTTTCTCTTGTAAAAATATGCCCAATGGTACTAATTAAATGCTTCAATTAAAAAGAAAAACAGTTTTTAGATGAAATTCAGCCATATTCAATCTAGTGATGCTTATTCGCTTTCTGCAGGTAATGGTGAGTTGAGAAAGACAAAACCTCTTTGGGACAGGGAGTGATGGATAACGCGCTGATAGGATTGCTACCAATTCGTCATTGTCGATCACGGTTGAACTGCAAAGGTATCGCCCATTTGCAGCTCATGCTCGAAACAAGGAATGGCAAAGTGCAACATCATCAATGTGAACATATCAATCCTTCCATGCCACTGTTTGCTCTGTTTGATGATAATGCTTGAACAGCACCCCGATGTATTTTGTAATAGGGTGAGAGGCTGATTAGACAAGCGAGAGCTCTCTGAGACTTAGTGAGAAGAATTATACAGACACACGTTTTCTCTTATATCACATCCCTATGAGGCGATATGAGAAGTTTCTTCTGCAGTTAGGCACCTCAGAGAGGAGAATTGACTACCCAGGAGATGCATATGTCACTAGGGCTATCCTACTAATCAGCAAAGGGCCAAGCGAATCGAGTACAGCGAAAAGCACCTAGATGAGATGCAGAGAAGGTCTAGAAGGTCTATCATCGACTGAGCAGAGGCGCGAGAAAGAGATGAGTTGAAAGGTGAGAAGAAACAACTAACAAGTTATGATAAATCAGACCTCATGGGTGTTGCACAAATCAGGGTATAAAAACATCCTAATTGTTTCAAATCTTGCTCTGGAACAAACAAAACTTTAGAGAGGCTATAGCTACAAGCGCGTATCACACTATGAATACTATTTGAAGCACAAATGGCAACCTACATATTTGTCATGTCTAGAGTGGTAAAGTGAACGACAAAGGCAACTTGTTTGAGACCGTACTAGTTTATGTATGTTGAGATCTTAAAACTATGTTAGCATAGAAAAACGGATGGAATTGGAGGAATAAACACAATGGACACAGATTTTTGTCTGATGCGAGAGCACATGTTGCCCAAGGGACATGCCTTACGACCTCCTTCGGTCAAAAGCCACAATATGTGATTATCGCACAGCAAAATTTGGATTGCTGGCAGTCACCCAAAGCACTTCCTAATTTGAGATAAACTCATGAACTATCTATGAGAGAGAATTGTGTAGGAAGATATAAGAGATATATGAATTAAATGAGACGCCTTGTGCAACTAAGTCTAAAGGCACAAGGAGTTGTGCGCATGTGGAGGAGGCTCCTAGTTTGACAAATGTATTCATCAAGGGGTACTTGAGTCAACTATAGCATCTCTAGCCCTCACAGCAGCGCAATAACATGATTGAAGAACTAACTACGCCCTCCAGAAATGGGTTCTCTACATGATGCGTACTAATCGGCACTCACCACTGATGAGCCATCGTTCTAATCCATCATCCACAGTGCTGCCCAGATCTCTGAGTGCCATGATGTGGAAACGAAAACCAATATCACATCCTGCAGCGAAAAAACTATCATATTCAAGAATTTTCGAATTTTCCATTAAGCTCAGTTGATTCGAGTAAGATGAAAGTGAACTCAATGCACTTATGCGTCTACCCTAATGCCAGTGGTGTGAAAACTTTCATCCTTGGTTCTATCTTCACGTCGCTCATGGCGTAAAGATAGAAAACTAAGATAGTGGCCATAGACTCATGTGTATTGTGAAGTAGCGGTAATATCGACGTGTAAACTATATATAGCCTATTCTCCCTTGATGTTAATAAGCCCTTGAAGGCGAGCATGAACTAATTATGGCTAGCTAAGCAGACACACCGAGAACTGGCAAGTATCATCTTGCAGTCCAGTGATAGTTAGCTAATATTATAATAATGCAACTATTAGCTACTTGATGAGCGATGATGTGAAGAGTCAAAGATCGAGCTGCGCAGGTAAGGTAAAACGATATAAAGGTCAGCAATGTACTGACTGGGTTGAGAAAATTAGTCTACCACCTTAGTCCACTTTAGAAGTTTTAACTGATTGTATGAGACAGAAAAGGAGTTAGCTAATGCAGATAGTGGGATCCAAACAACCCTGATTTTTCGAAGTAACGAGTCAATATACGCATCTTTCTGTTGATCAAATCTGAAGCGTTATTAGATTACCTTGGAGAAGCAGTGTGGAAGACACCTGGGAGCGCGACACGCAGTGGATTGACATTATACGTCAACATGCAGCCCCAATGCCGTACCAATTACACCGTTTTGCGAGACACTCCAACCCAATTCTGAAGGAATTCTCTCCTATTGGACACTCGTTCCCAGCTCTCCACAGCACCAGCCTGCTGCGGATAATTATACTTTTCGTCCAATTTCGTGCTCGTCCCCGCGCGGAATGCAACATGTGGACTGATTCTATTCAAACAGTAACATATGACAAGATTAAAATGAAGGTCGAATTGGAAATGAGGAATTGTAGAATCACTATCGAAAACGAGATAGTGAGAGAGACTATACCCTAGGTATAGTCTTCTAACCCGTCCCAAAAGATAGATTCGATGATGAAGCCAGAACTAGCAGAAAGCTATAAACCAGCCAAGACAGGTCCAAGGAAAACAAATCACTGCCAAGCCCCAGTTCACGCAAATCTTTGCCTTTTACCGATCCATTCCTGCTCAATAAAGTTTGGCAGTTTCGTACTCCTATTTGATGGAGAGCCTGCTGTTTTACACTTTGAATTCAACCAATCCAGCCGATGAATTGTCTCGAAATGGACATTAGTTGAGGAATTATGGAAGAT